AAAAGGCAGAGGAAAGGTACATTCGCTCTTTCTTCTGGAGCTGGGACACCAGTTTCTCCTGCCCTTAGATATCAGAACTCCAGGTGTGTGGCCACTGGACTCCAAGACTTATACAGATGCTATGAGATTCCCTAGTCCCCATCTCTATCTCTCTAGGGTCTTAGGCCTTTAGCCTCTGACTGACAGATATGCCAGCAGCCCCTGCCGGTTCTCAGGCCTTCAAATGTGGACCGAGCCACTCCACCAGCTTCTCTCGTTCTCCAGCTTGCAGACAGAATATCATAGGACTTCCCAGCCTCCATGATCACATGAGTCAATTCCCATAGTAAATTTCATCTCATCATTCTATTGATATATATATCCTGTTGGTTCCGTTTCTCTGGAGATGCTAATAGTCTCCTCTTTATTTGAATCTTCTTTGATTTCCTTAATCAGTGTTTGCAATTTTCAGCATACAAGTCTTATATAAGTTAAATTTATGCCTACTTCATTTTTGAGCAATTTAAATAATATTCTATTTTAAATTTTGGTTTTCATGACTTTATTGCTAATATACAGAATTAAAGATAACTTTTTCCATGGTGATCATGCAGTCTGTCACCATTCTGAACTCACATATCAGTTCTAAGAGTCTGTTCTGTAGATCCTGTAGAATTTCCCACAAAGACTATTATGTCATCTACAAATAGAGACAGTTTTCTTTCTTTCTTTCTGATATGTATGCCTTTTATTTCCTTTCCTAGTCTTATTGCCCTGGCTAGGACTTCCAGCACTATCGTGAAGAGAAATGGTGAGAGAGGAAGAAACACTGTCACTGAGAAGTCATGGTGAGGTCAGGACCTGTCACCCCCACTGCTGCCACAGAACAACAGAGAAAAAAGCTCCACGAGTGCCTAGAAGCCAAAAGGAACTTCAAGTGCCAAACACTGAGCCTTATCTAAAAGCCAAAAATAATTGCCCGAATCTACCCAACAGAATGTTGTCAATCATGCTGTTTTGCCTGATAAAGGCATAAAGCCCAGCAGCATTAAACTCCAGGCCAGACCAGCCAATATTACAAGGTCCCAGGAGCCAAAGTTGAAGCTACTAAAACTGGACAAAAGCTGATTTCAGGAAGTGTTTTTCTAACCTAAACTGCAAGCCTCCAGCGGTAGCTGACAGGAGCATAAAGCTGGATCATTTACCACAGGAGAACTGTCAAGAAAACCCAGGGGGTCACTTAATGCACAGGATTTGAAGACTACAAAGCAGCAGTTAACAAACACATCAAGGAAGCTAAGTGTACAGACTCCGTAGGAAACACTCGTGCTGAAAATTAATCTTTGGTTAGCTTTCTAAAACAGATTAATGAAGAGAATTTGCCTCAAACCTTGTCAGACCCTGAAAGCAAGCCAGATTCTCAATAATGTACCATAAATAAGTTAAAGAATAACTCCCATAATTGAACTAAGAGCAATTTGGTTCCTAAACAAGCCTTGGGCAGATATTCAGTGACTAATGCTGCCCTGAAAGACAAGAGTTAATAAACAATTTGTTAGAGAAACACAAGTCAAGCTTCTATCAGTCAAGTCATAGCAACTCTCTCAAGGGGATCTTGCAAGACCGGGAAAAAAGCCCCCAAGACAGTCCCTCTCTCTCTGTTTGTTCAGACCCTTAGCAGGACTCAAGTATCAAATAAAAATTAGTGGTCGAGGGTGTAAAGGTTAATAGGGTTAATTGCTAAAGAGCATGTATAAGTTAGTGAACAGAAAGTAAATACACCAAAACCAGGACACACTCCAGTTTGTTTCAGGGAGGATATAATAGCAGACATCCAAACATTAAGCAGGATCAGCAGTCCATTCAACCTTGTTTTGGGACTTGGTCGTGTGCCCTGCAAAAATCAAAAGCCGTAAGCCAGAGGCCTAGTTTGACAGTTGGCAGCTTAAATTCAGTTGTTCCCAGCACCCCTGGCATAAGAGCAAATGGAACTAATGGGGACAAATGCCACAACAGCTTACAACACAAAGCACAGGCATTGGACTCCAAGTTGAAAAAGGCTCTTCCATTTTCTCAACAAGAGAGCTCCCAAAACTCGAGCTGGTGACACAATCATGAATGGCAAAGGAGTCTCAAAAGGAACCCAATGAATACAAATATTGAAAAGAAAATAATAGCAGAGGATCAAAGGAAATAACTGGAAGAATGACAGAAACCTAAGGGGAAAATCTGTAAGTGGCCTCCTATGACACATAAAACAAAAGAAAAATAATAGATAAAATAAATATTCTGGAAGAGCATTGAAAAAGAAGAGGAAGAAAAGAAAGCACAGCTTCAACTGCTCAGTCAAACTAACAACACTCTGACAGAATGTCTGCAGCTCATTGAAAGGGCTGTGGTTTTTAGTGAAATATCTGCCATATTGTTCAGTATTCCTGAGGCCAAAGAACTGCTAAATTCTGGTTCTACAAAGCAAAGTTGTGAGCAAGCAAAGGCACCTGTGATGCTACCGGGCTCTATGAAAGGGCCGTTAAAAATCGGGCAATACCAACACAAGTGCTGCGGAAAGTTGTTTTTAATTTTTGCAAGACCCAAACAAAACCATGGAAGGAATTACCTCTGGCTTTTTAGTTGATAAGATTGATATGACATCAGCAGAAGAGCTGGCCAACAAGATGGAATCTGGAAAGTCTTGTGTTTCTCCAAAAACAAACAAACAAAGGAACAGGTTACAGCAACACTCCAAATAATGAAGGCATAACAGGATAATCATCCTGGTGTCAAATTGGAGATCGCTCCAACCCTGGAATAAATGGAGTGGCAGAATTGCAAGACATGAAACTTCTCACTCCTGTTGGGTGTTGGATGGAGCTCAAACACGCAGTATCCCACTACCTGGAAAGGCTGTAGAAATGCAATTTAGTAGTGACTTCTGTTGATGAGCTATTAGGAATGAAAGAAACACAGCACTTCATATTTTATAAAAATGAGATTTTGCCTGTAACATTAGGGTTTCAAATCCTTGAATCATAATTTCTGGAAGCTTTTTTAAAAAAAAGTCATTTTAGAACCTCTGAGATATGAAACTCTTGTTGGAGGGACCTGGAAGAGAATGCATAAGTAGACAGGCATAATAGATACAGAAGATTATGTATGGACTCTCAGGATTTAAAGTAATTCACTTGGCTTACTCAGATTTTATATACTCACAGTAAAGTCTTCGGTGTCCATGTTTTGCAACGTACATAAATTTTAAAATATCAAGAATTAATTTATCCTGTAAGTATGATAAAAATTTGCACTTTGTTGATATAGTTTAACCCCAACACAATTCTTTTTTTATATTAGAAGGTTGGTGCCACAGTATGATGGTCTTTCCTTTCTGCATCCACCTTAGCAGAGAGAGCAAGTCCTTTTAGGGTGAAAGATCTGAGCTTTCGCTCTGGCTTGCCAGGCTAGGTGGGACCACCTGGTCCAAATCTCCTCATTTTACAGGTGAATAGTTTTGTCTTTGCTCAGAGACTGCAAGTGACATTTATGTGTGATCTGTGACTTCTGTCACAGTATCCCTGAGATGAAGGGTAATCCTTTCTGTGCTAAGTCTCCTTGAATGAAATGCAATCTTGAATTGGGTGGTCATCTGGCTCTTGGTATATATTCAAACCTAATTTTGCATTTATTATTCAGAAATACTCGAAAACAAAAAGGGAAAGAGAGAGGGGTGAGGAGAGGATGCTGCTTCTTCATTTCAGTGCTTTGATCTGCCAGGGGACAACTGGCCTGAGAAGGGAAGGCAAGCCCCAGAGACTGTTGTCAGTTGTTTTACCTTCCTCCTGAGCAACTGCTCTGGGAAAGGGAAAATCAGAGTCATCATGCTGATATACCACATAGAAAACCCTAGTCAAGATATTTTTAATTTTAACTTTCTGAATATTTAAGTATTATCCTTTAAACAATCATTAACTTTTTGTTTATTCCTGCTTTTAAAAAAAGAGTGGTGAGAAGAAACATTCTTGTCTCTATCCATATCATGAGAGAAAGGCTTCAATCTTTCACCATTAAGTATGTTAGCTGTAGCATTTTGTTTTTGTAGGTGTTCCTTTTTGTTGATTTCAGTTGACACATAATCATTATACATATTTATGGTGCACAGAGTGATATTTTGAAACATGCATGCAAAGTACAATGATCAAATCAGGGTCATTAGGATATCCAGCACTTCAAACATTTATCATTTCTTTGTGTTGGGAACATTCAAAATTCTTTCTTCTAGCTTTTTAAAAAATGCAGTAACTTATAGTTTACCATATGCACCCTACAGTGCTGTGAAACATCAGAGCTCATTTCTCACATCTAGCTGAAATTTGTATCTGTTCACCAACTTCTCGGTATCCTCCCTACCCCCTACCATTCCCAGCCTCTGATAACTGTAACTCTCTACTTCTATGGGCTACATTTTTTTTTTTATGGTTCCCACTATAAGTAAGAACATGTGGTATTTGTCTTTCTGTGCCTGGCTTATTTTACTTAACAATGTCCTCCAGCCTCATCCATGTTGCTGAAAATGACAGGAATGCATTATTTTTTTTTAATGGCTGAGTAGTATTCTATCGTGCATATATACCACATTTTCTTTCTTCATTCACCTGTTGATGAATATTTATGCTGATTCCATACCTTTACAATAGTGAATAGTGCTGTAATAAACACAAGCGTCCCTTTGAGATTCTGATTTCCTTTCCTTTGGATAAATACCCAGTAGTAGAATTGCTGGATTGTATGGTAATTCTATTTTTAGTTTTTAGAGAAATCTTTATACTGCTTTAAATAATGGCTGTACTAGTTTACGTTCCCACTAACACTGTATAAGAATTTCCCTTTCTTCACATCCTTGCCAGAATTTGTTATTTTTTGTCTTTTTGATAATAGCCAATCTCAACTGGGATGAGACGTCTCACTGTAGTTTTGATTAGTGATGTTGAATGTTTTTCCATATATTTGTTGGCCATTTATTTGTATGTCTTCTTTTGAGAAATGTCTAATTAGATCATTTGCCTACTTTAAAACTGGGTTATTTGTTTTTGGTTGTTAATTTGAGTTCCTTGTATATTCTTGTATATCCATTTTTGTAGTCAGAGTGAAGATGACACTCTTTCTGAATTTTATCATCCTAAGCAGAAGCTGAATTTCCCTGGATATATTTTTAATATAGAGCTCATAGGATTTGCTAATCTGTAGAGTGAGAGAGAGAGAAAGAGAAGTCATGGATGTCTTCAAGATTTGGGGCCTAAGAGACTGGAATAATACATTGCCATCAAGTGTGTTAGAAAAATCAGCACATGGAGCACCGGTGGATGGGGAGATCAGAAGTTTAATTTTGAATATGTTGAGTTTTAAGGCTGTAATTGGAAACTCTGTTATCTCTCATAACACTTATGTTTCTGAGTGTGATACTTAAAAATCTCTATTCTTCAAACCTCCACCTTTAGATAAACAGCATATTTTCTAAAAGAAGGGCTCCCTGCACTTCCCACAGGATTGTGAATGAATAATAAAGGTCTTCTCCATCTCAAGAGGTAAGAATACTGAGGACCTTCAGACACGCATACAGGAAGGTGGCACACGTATTTCTAGGGACAGGAGTCTCGTTTCTTGAATATTTCCTCAAGAAGGTAAGTTTCTATGTGAATAATGAAATTTTGTTAGATGAAAGTACTTCTATTGTCTCCACACGTTGAGAAGGTCAAGGAGAGCAGAGCCCATGGTGATTACCTCCAGGATACTAGACCACCTAAGCAGAACACGGGAAGAAGCTGCAAAACCAAGTCATGCCTGTGTTAGCAACCACCCACCTCCAACCTACATAAATAGTTGAAAAGTACAGAGAAGCAGGGAAAGGAAAGATCTTTGGAAGGAGTCATTAGGGGCTGTAGCAATTCCCCCCCAGCCCATCCTCAGGGTCAGGAGTGAGGGGGAAGCACCTGAAGCCAAGCAAAAGAACGTTCAGACAACACTTCAGAGATCTTGACATTTATGCCAAGCATTTGGGAGGGTAAAAGGGCTTGTACTAGAAGCTGTAGTTCCAATGGCTGAAGGCAGCAGAGCAAAGAAAGAGGCAGGGCTGCACTGGGGGCGGCTGCACTTCCTCCAGTGTTGAGACAGTTCGTTTGTAGAAGTTCTATCTCATTGCACACAACCTTCCTAGAAATACTGACAGTCTCCGTCAGCCAACACAACTTTCTATGAGGTCTGGCTACATCCCAGTCACGTCAAGGAGTCTGATCCATGTCGTTACAAATATCCCAGTGAAGGGGGAAATAAAGCTTAGTTTATGATTTTTGCAAGTAAGAATGGAATAAAAGCAAATCAGATTCCAGGTTGGATTATCATTTGAACTCAACATTATGTTCTTGATGATTGATAAAAGAAAAAAAATTAGGAGACATAACATCTAGCCCAGGCAAAACTAATTTGGAAGGCTTTCAGGGAAAAGGCTGCTTAGAATCATGAGACCAGAATGGGGAGCAGTTGTGTGTTCATTTCCACTCAAGTTTTTCCATTTTCCTTCTCTAGCATCTTCTTTTGTCATAATAATTGTTTCTCTTTATAGGCACACACACAGAGATTAGTAATTACCTTAGACCTAGACTTTTTAAAAATGTATACATTTATAGATTACTATCAAACATTTTCCAGTGGCCCGAGGAAAACTACTATTTTGAAGTAAAGTAATACCATGGAGTATTTTATGTACCTTCCTTGTCTTTTACTGGCTTGAGGAAGCCAGTCACTGCCCCCACACACTCTTTTTTTTTCTTCCTTAAGCAGATGAAGGGAAAGTTGCCCTTTTTCTTTTTTTTTTTTTTTTTTTTTAGAAATCTATCTCCTTCTGACATGAGGGCTTATGGGTTTTGTTTCATTCTTGTTCAAAGCCTTTAGCTTAAGCTATGCCAAGGCCGTCTGTAGCAGCTGACTTCTGCTTTCTGCTGGGTCTTCAATTCCTGTTTCTCATACCACAAAAGAATGGTTGCTGATGCTACTTTAGAAAGGGAAGTCATTTGCCCTTTCAGATAAAATGAAGGAAGCCCTGAGGAGGCTGCAGAATCTTTTCCCATGGTGAATATAACAGAAAGGAAGGGAGGGAGGGAAGGAGGGAGGGAGGGAGAAAGGGAGGAAAGAAAGGAAAGAAGGGAAGGAATGAAGGAAGGTAGGAAGGTAGGTAGGAAGGAAGGAAAAAAGGAAGGAAGGAAGGAAAGAAGGGAAAGAAAAAGAGAAAGAAAAGAAAGGAAGAAAAAAGAGAGAGAGGGAGGGAGAGAGGAAGGAAGGAAAAAAAGGAAGGAAGGAAGGGAGGCAGAGAAGAAAAGAAAGAGAGAAAGAGAAAGAAAGAAAAAGAAAGAAAGAAAAGAAAAAAGGCAGGAAGGAAGGGAGGGAGGGAAAAAGGAAAGAGAGAAGAAAAGGAAAGAGAAAGACAAAGAAAGAAAGAGAAAGAAGAGAGAAAGAGAAAGCAAGAGGAAAGAAAGAAATAGAACATTCTGTCCTGTAGAACTGGACGCTGCTCATAGAGGCCTGGCTGTGACAGTGACAGAGGCTCTGGAACCACAGGATAGACCAGTGAACTCATTTTTCTTGCCAGGTGAGGTCTGGTATATGATTTTGACTTGAATATGATTTTGATTTGTACATGTATATATTTCTGGAACAGAATTGTGCCTTCAAATAAGTGACTTTTCTAACTTTAGGTTATACATGGTGTGACACTAAGTTAAAACTAAGTGCATTTTCCTTCAAAGAAATGGTTTCTTACATACAGCAATTCATAACTTAACAACAGTGGGGTTCTTCTTGGGTGTCTTGTTTTGCATTCTATCAGTAAAGAAAGCTGAATTTAACACTAGTTGCAAGAAAAAAAATGCACAAGCGCATTTTAATTTCTCTTTCTCAAACTTCTTTTCTTGGATGTAATTTTAAGTGTATACTTCACCAAATTAATAAGTACCCTATACATTGCCTATATGTAAGACCTCTCCTGGGGAATTTGGAAGTAATCAATGTTTTTAAGCAGCATCAGTTCTCATGAATAAAAATCTTTTGTACAGGATGATAAGCTATTCATTACACATAATCATTGTGCAGGGTAGTAGCAGGGGTGGCGTTTTGTTCAGAGTTTGTATCAAAATACGTTAGGCTTAATGTTTTCAGCAAACGACCATATTTTGTAACATAAAATGTGAAGTTGTTTTGTAATTGGAAAAGGGGACAAAGAACATGTTTGTCATTAGGAAACATCCTTTTGTGTTCAGCTTTGTCATAAACTTTTTTAGGTTGGTTAATCTATCTGTATAAAATCTTTGTAAGTTATGACAACTGCACCTATTTCAAATGGTGGAGTGGTGTATCTTATTTGGATGCGGTTATGAATTAGGCACACGCAACGACCATGTCCAAGTACGTTTCTAGTCACAGATTTCTTAATTTAGTAAGAACATTATTTTTCCCAGCATAAGTAATTTTACCTTCAGCGTTGCACTTGTCAACTGAATTCAATATTAATCACAATAATGTCAAATGCTTCAACTACAAATGAGTGAATTTCCAAAAGACTTTTGATTTCATGAATTAAATGGAAAAAATTAAATCATGATTTTCTGTTTGAATTTTGTGATGGCATCATTTAACTGTTGACTTCTCGTAATGGAGCCAACACATTAACAATCACTGCTTCGCTTTTCATGTGTGCATAAAAAAACTTGGAGAAAGTAATGAGTATAATTAACTTAGAAGAACAGTCTTTTGATCTAAATGAAGTCATGCTTCATAGAGTAATATGTAGGCTCACCTTTTGTAGCCCTCATTTTAATAATTATCTTTTAGCACCATCTTCTTAATGTAGCTATTAACTTTTGAAGTAGATGCTGATGCTTCTTGTGATTGGCAATCTGTGTCTTCTGATTTCCATCTAATCAAGCTTTTTCTAGGCTGCTGGCATGAGACTGCACTTTATCACTGAGTGCTCCTCATGCTGTTCTCGAAAAGGAGGGGTTAGTTACCCTGTGATCAAGTGCGAAAAAAAGCACTTTGCTCACTATGTATATATCTCACAACCTGTAAGGTGAGAACCCAGCAGAAGCTGCAGGTACAAAGTGGAGGTTCACCACATCCACCCCAGCTTGATTTAACACAGCTATTGACAATAATGCTTTGTTAAAACAACAACACAAAGGACAAATACCCAAACAAACAAAACGTGAGGACAACAGGTACCACCTGAGACTGTACCAGTGAAACCAAGGCATAGGCTTACCCATAGCTGATGATGAGGATGCCAGCTCTGTGGACTGACAAGTGGGAGGGACCAAAGGAACCCCAGAGGGCGGGGTTGGCCTTGGAAAGGCAAGAGAAGTTCTACAATACCAGAAAAGAAGAGGTGTCAGTAGGTCCACAGCACCTGGAAAAGCCAGGGAAAGAGGTCAGTGACTGACAACATAAAGTGAGGTTCATTCAGCACTTAGCAATTTCCTGTTGTTTGCCAAGCATCAGATATGACAATTAGTACTATTTATTCAGTATCATTGCATGACAAACACTTTATCTTATTTAATATTGCTACTTCTGGTTTCCAGGGTATAGAACTGAGCCCAGGAGGGGCCAACTGACTTGCCCGACTCCTGGCCACTCCCTCCTGTTCCGGACATCTCTCCTCTGTCTCTCCCCATTTCTCTGCCTACATCAGGAGTAGATGGGAATGGTGACCTCCCATGTTAAAAGGCGTTAAAATCTGTGTGACTGTCCCTCCTACAGAGATCTGATCATCGTTTTCTCCTCCCATCATTTCTCCTCCCTTTCCAAATGACCCCTCCAAAACCACATCCTTGTTTAACTAAACCCATTTCCTCTACTGGCAAAAACATCAGGGGTCCACAACACACTTTGCATTTGATTCAATTTTATGTTTTGTCACTTTATATCACTAGAGAGGCTTTTTCTTTTTTTTTTTTTTAATTTAAAAAGAAGAAAAGGTTTATTTTGCTCATGACTGATGGCTGGAAAGTTCAAGGCTAGGCATCTGCATCTGGTGAGGGCCCCAGGCTGCTTCCACTCATGGCAGAAGGTGAAGAGGGGCTGGTGTGTGCAGAGATCACATGGCAAGAGAGGAAGCAAGAGAGAGAGAACAGGGTAGATGCTAGGCTGTTTTTAACCAGCAGCTCTCTTAGGAGCTAAAAGAATAAGAAATCACTCACTATGTCCACCCACTATTAATATATTCATGAGGGTTCTGCCCTCATGATCCAAACACCTTCTGTTAGGCTATATCTCCAATATTGGGGATTGTATTAGTCTGTTCTTACACTGCTAATAAAGACATACCCGAGACTGGGAAATTTATAAAGGAAAGGAGGTTTAATGGACTCACAGTTCCTCATGAGTGGGGGGGGCCTCACAATCATGGCAGAAGGCAAAGGAGGCACAAAATCATGTCTTACGGGCGGCAGGTAAGAGCTGTGCATGGGGAACTCTCATTTATAAAACTGTCAGATCTCATTAGACCTCTTCACTACCACAAGAACAGTATGCGGAAACTGGCCTTAGGATTCACCTGGCCCCACCCTTGACATGTGGGGATTATTATAATTAGAGGTGAGATTTGTGTGGGGACACGGCCAAACCATATCAGGGATCAAATTTCAACATGAGTTTTGTAGTGGACACCAAATCATAGCAAGTAATCAATTCACCCATTAAGACCCAATAAGCATATAAAAAGCTTCTTAGTCTCTAGTAAATAATGGCAAATTAAAAAAATAAAATGTAATTTTCTACCCAGCAAATCGAGAACTTAAAAAGTGATAATTCCTCAAGCAGGAGAAAGTACAGGGAACCAGATTCCCATATCTGCTGGTGGGAGTGTAAACTGCTGCAACTTTTCCTTCAGGAAAATACCTGACTAAGAATGTTTCTATCTGTACTGTTAAGTATCAGATGCCAGGTTCAGAACAGGGCATATGATTTGCTGTCGCTTAGAAAACTTACCAGTGGTCACCTCTAGAGACTGGGGCTGAGGGTCTAAGTAAAGAGAAAGATTTTATTTATTTTATTTTTTTGAGACGGAGTCTCACTGTTGCCCAGGCTGGAGTGTAGTGATGTGATCTTGGCTCACTGCAGACTCCACCTCCCAGGTTCAAGCAATTCTCCTGCCTCAGCCTCTTGAGAAGCTGGGATTACAGGTGTGTGCCACCACGCCCAGCTAATTTTTGTATTTTTAGTAGAGACCGGGGTTTCACCATGTTGGCCAGGCTTGTCTCAAACTCCTGACTGCCTTGGCCTCCCAAAGTGTCAGGATTACAGGCGTGAGCCACTGCACCCAGCCAAGGGAGATTTTTTTAACGATACAATTTTAGGTAATTCTTTTTCTTATCGTGTACATATATACTGTTTAAGTATCCAAATTTTAAAACCAATTTTTAAAAATCTCAACTTGAGTTTATCTGAGATTTCAGCTCATAAACACTCACTACAGAGTTATGTCTAATATCAAAAAGATACAAACTTTATATCCAACAATTTGGTATAAATTGGAAAAAAATAAGCTAAACATTAAGAAGTATATTGTGGAATATTTTGCAACAAAGGCAAATATTCAAATGCAGTAAATGAAAAACTGATTACAGATTATATTTCAGTCTCCAATTGTGTAAAAATCAGGTGTCATTCTGTCTTTCAGGCTGGAATGCAGTGGCATGATCATAGCTCGCTACAGCCTCACACTCCTAGGCTCAAGGATCCTCCCACCTCAGTCTGCCAAGTAGCTGGGACTACAGGGGCATGCCAGCATGCCCTGCTAAACTTTATATGTTTTTGGAGAAACAGAGTCTCACTCTTTTGCCTAGACTGGGCTTGAGCTCCTGGCTTCAAGGGATCCTTCTGCTTTGCACACCCTGAAGATTGACATCTTAAAAGCCATAGCCTGGAGGATGCAAATTAAGTCACATCTGCCAGGTAGCTATTCCCTTTTCTTACATCAGGTATCTCACATGATAATTACAAACACATCTGCCTCTCAGCCAGCAAACGTTTATTGAACCATACTCTGTGCCAACCAGTGTGGTTGGTACTAGAAATTGGGGGGAAAGTCCTTGTTCTCATGTAATTTGCATTCAAATAGCTGTAAGGTTACACCTGTGCTAAGTGCTAGGAGCGAGTATGTGGTAGTCCAAAAAAACCATGGAGAGGTAAATTGTACCACGGAAACCAGCAAGGATTGCCCTAATCAAAGAAATCATAAGGAGAGGAATTAACCAGACCAAAGAGGGCGTCTTTACCCAAGAAGCCACATGTTGGAGAAGTAAAGGCCGAACAGGCTGTAGCAGGGCTGAGGGGAGTGTGCTGCAAGGTGCCAGGCCATGCCAGGCCTCCTGCATGGGAAGAACACTGTTGATCTTTCATCTGGAAACAATGAGGTTATTAGGCGCCTGGCAGAGGGAGGATCAGACCTGATTAACATTGACTTTTCCCCCCTGGGATGAGAGTTTGTGCATCTGTCTCACTCAGTGGCATCCCAGGAACCCAGAATAGCACTGCACTTAATCGGTGCTCAATGGGGTAACAGCCTGGGTGAACGGGGGAGGGGGGCTGTCCTCTCCTCTGGTTGGATCACACAGGGCCATACCTCCCAACAGCGGCCCACATCCCTGGTCCTCACATCCCAGAGCAGCCACAGCGGGGGAGGGAGGGAGTCCCAGGGCTGCCCCACAGACCACCCCTGCCCTCCAGATCCCCAAGCCACTGTCAGCCTCCTGCCCAGGCTCGGACTCCCAGGGGCCTTGAGAAACCAAGAAGCCGCCTCCTCCAGAGTGGGCAACATCATGGGACCAAGATGCTGAACAGAAGTCTCCCCACCCGGCACTCACCTCTTGTGGTGGGCGACACCGGGCTCTGGAAGTTCTGAGACGTTGTTTTTTCAAAGGTCTTGCTGTATTGCTCATGCTGTCCTCGAACTCCTGAGCTCAAGTGATCCTCCCACCTCAGCCTCCCTGGTAGCTGGGACTGCAGGTGCATGCCATCATGCCTGGTTACTAGAAGGACTTAAAAAAAGAAACAAAACTACTAAACTGCTTTTTAGAGAAGTTTTAGGTTCATAGTAAAATTGAACAGAAAGTACAGGGAGTTCCCATATATCCCCTGGTGTTGTATACTCTACGGATGTATAATGACATGCATCCATCAATGCCGTATTAGACAGAATAGTTTCACCATCCTAAAAATCCCTGTGCTCCACCTAGTCCAGCCTCTTTTCTTCCAACCCTTGGCAACAATTCACCTTTTTCCTGTCTCCATAGGTTTGCCTTTCCTAGAATGTCACATAGTTGACATCATACAGTATTTAGCCTTTTCAGAGAGGCTTCTTTAATTCAGTAATATGCATTTAAGCTTCCTCTATGTCTTTCCAT